TCCAAAATGAGGATTCCCTTCACCTCTGGTAGTCCGTCATTACGGTGCTTTATCCAGCTCTCCCAAAATCGCCATGCAAAGTCCCGCCTTTCGGCCAGTGCTCATTCCCTCTGTCTGAGCACACACCTCCCTCCTCTACCAGCTCAAGTGCCACTTCCTTCCATTAAAATTACCTTTGATTTAATGGCTGTGTGCAATGTAAGTGTTATTAATTTACTTTCCAAAGATGTTTCTCCTGCCTCTCCCCTTAAACCATGAAATTGTTTAATCCACAGACCTCAGCCCAGCCTGGTTCAGAGTGGTGGGCACGTGTTAAAGAGTAACCGACTGCTGCCGAAACTGGTTTGGCTCAGTGGATAGAGCGTTGGCCTGCGGACTGAAAGGTCCCAGGTTTGATTCCAGTCAAGGGCATGTACATTGGTTGTGAGCAATTCCCCGGTGGGTAGTGTGCAGGAGGCAGCTGGTCAATGTATCTCTCTCATCAATGTTTCTAGCTCTCTATCCTTCTCCCTTCCTTTCTGTGAAAAATCAATAAAATATATTAAAAAAAAAAAAAAAAGAAGAAGAAGAAGAAGTAACCGACTGCTAACAGGAATGGGCAGTCTAGACCACAGGCACCTGGTCAGAGGAGAAAGCAAGGAGAAGAGAAGCAGAGAGACATACAGAGAGAGAAGATGGGCAGAAAGATTTAAGAGTCTCCGCCAGGAGGGCGAGAAGCATGGGGGTGCTGAAAGGAATGCAAGCCAAAACCGGTTTGACTCAGTGGATAGAGCGTTGGCCTGCGTCCCACTGACTGAAGGATCCTGGGTTCGATTCCGGTCCAGGACATGTACCTGGGTTGTGGGCACCTCCCCAGTGGGAGGTGTGCAGGAGGCAGCTGATTGATGTTTCTCTCTCATCGATGTTTCTAGCTCTCTATCCCTCTCCTTTCCTCTCTGTAAAAAATCAATAATAATATATTAATAAATAAATAAATAAATAAATAGGAATGCACAGAGGAAGACAGAGCCAGCCACAGGCTCTGGCAAGCAGGAGGGAGAAAGCAAGACAGCAGGGCCAGGGCAGAGCTGTTGGAGAGGGAAAGGCAGAGTGCGAGGGCAGATGGAGGAGAGAAGTTGCCCCGTGCTCACCTTCCCACACCTGCCCATGGGGCCAGAGGCCAAGGCCTGGCTGAAGGCGGTCAGAATGAGCAGCGTGTGTCAGTGCCAGGGCAAAGGTTACACAGTGACAGGGCAAAAATGAAAGCAGCCGTGAACAGGAGAGGGCTAGCAGCCCTGGCCTGGAAGCCGGTCCACCGTGTGGGAGGCTGGGCTCAGAAATAACAGGCGTTAATCTGTCCTGCGGCTGTGCATGGCATCTGCATGTCTGCCTGGCCGTCGACAGCGTGCTTCTCTGGGCTCCAGGACCAGGGCTGATTGCAGGCCTGCTCCTGTCCTCAGAGTCGGCAAGTCTAGAACCTTCCTCTGAGCACTCCAGAGGCGGTTTGTCCTTTAGCCAAGCCTTCTCCCTGCTGCCTGTTCTCAGCTCCCACCCAGTGCCCCACTGGGTCGCCACCTGGAAAACAGCTGGTGGCCTCCAGATGTGGGGAGTGTAAAGACCAGGGCTCTCAAGGGCATGGGCACAGGACCCATAAGAGTGGGTCCCCGAAGGGAGAGGGGAAGACAGAGGAGAGCAGCCTCAGTGAGATGTGTCTGAGTCAGATTGGCCCTCTTCCTCGGCCTCCCTGGGGTCCATCCCACACACTGGGCCTGAGCTCAGGGCTATATATACCTTCCAGATGGACGGGAGCCCCTGCCGAGAGCCAGCCCACCAACTCCCTGCGCAGTCCTTCCTTGGCCTAGACCTCACGCCAGGTAAGAAGAGATGAGGATAAGCCCGTGTCTGGACTCCAGCAGGATCTGTACTCACGTAGGACAGGTGCTGTGGAGCCGGGTGAGTCAGCAGCACTGACCCACCTGGGGCTGGGCTAGGCAGAAAGCTCGGCAGGGGAGAAGACAGGAGAGGTGGGAGGCTTTGTACAGCCCCCAAAGGCCAGTCAGGGCAATAGGGGAGCACTATATGAGGTAGGAGAACGGAGTTCTAGCCCCCGCTCTCTCGCTTACTACCCGAGAGACTCTGGGATAAACTCTGGCCTCTCTGACCTTCTTTCTACATCTGCAAGCAAGGGTTATCATTCCTCCTTCCCTTGAAAACGTTAAAGGGATAACTGATATTAGAGGCCACTGAGTGCTCCTGCCAGTGTAACCTCCAGGCTCCTGGGCTCTCTCCTCCTTTCAGGTTAATCTCTGTGCCATTCCCCACCCTGTGGCCTCCTGGTCTTTCTGTAGAGGGGACATCAACATGGCCAGGACAGTTCGCCAAACACCCTTTTCACCCTGCTCCACCGCCTTCTCAACAGCTCTCCTCCTGCCAAACAATTCCAACCCAAGGCCTGTCTGAAGTCCACAGACTTGGACTTGACTTGACTAAACCCAGTTGTAGGACTGTAAAGTGAGAATAGAAATATCTACCCAAACAACTAAATAAAACTAAGATCCACTCAAATATCCTTCAACAGATGAACGGATAAACAAAACGTGGTCTATCCATACAATGGAATATTAGTAAGTATCGTAAAACGAGCCAGACACAAAAAGATAAATACTGTGTATGATTCTTCCTATACGAGGTACTAAAGCAGTCATATCCACAGAGAAAGTGGAGTGCGGGGCTGCCAGGGCTGGGGTGAGTGAGAAGTTAATATTTAATGGGCACAGAGGTTCAGGGGGGATGATAATAAAGTTCTGGAGGCAGGTGGTGGTGATGATTGCACAACAATGGGAATGTACTTCATGCCACTGAACTGCACACTAATGGTTAAAAAGGCAAATACTGTATACTTTTTGCTATACACACAAACAGCTCAGCACCCAGGGTCTGGGGCATCATAGCACTCAAATAAATAAGCGTCTGCTGATTCTGCCACACGCCACCCTCTCCATGGGCCTTCCCAGAGATCCGCAAGCAGCCTCAGCTTGTTCCCTTCGCTCAATGCTTCTCACACACTTGTTTGCCAAAAATTTGTCCCTTAAAGCACGAAGACGTATCCTGCGAAGAGTCCTGTGTACAAGTCATGGCTTTCCAACCAGGGACCCTGGCAGCTCTCCAGCTAACCTACATGCCCTCCCCACCCCAGCCAACTCCTTACCCTTCTCACCTCAGGTCATGATCAATACCACCCCACTCTCCGCCAAAGGAGTGGAAAGAGCCTGGGGTCCCAGAGCCTCCGTTGCTCACTAGCTCCATTGGTGACCTATGAAAAGCACCCAATCCTACAACTGGCACCCAATAGGCGCTCCGTACATATCAGTCCTCACCTCTATGAAGCTCCCACAGGAGCCAAAAGCCAGAAGCAACAATCAGAAAAGGAGATGGTTAGATAGGAGTGGTACAGGGGGCTGAGCCAGGGCATGGGTGCCCACAAAAGTAGGAGACTAGGAGCCAAGCACAGCCATGAGGAGGGGCAGGTAAGAAGAGATGAGCAGTTTACTGGTGACTGAGGAGAAGGCCTAGTCTAGCTCGAAAGGAGCTTACTTCCCAACAAGCAAAAGAAAGAGAAGGCCTCAATGTGGCCTTGTGGGGAAGGTGAAAGCATAGAGTAGAAGGGGCTGGGAGAGCTTCATGGCTCCCTGGGCCAGTAAACAACCAGATTTGAGTTTAGTCAGTTGAATTAAGTTGAGTAGTGTCCCCACAAAATTCTTGTCCACCGAGAACCTCAGAATGTGACCTTATTAGGAAATAGGGTCTCCACAGATGTAATTAGTTGAGATAAGGTCATATTGGATTAGGGTGGGCCCCAGTCCAAGGACTGGTGCCCTTTTAAGAATATGAGAAGACACAGAGACATACACAGAAGGAGCACGTCCATGTGACAACCGAGTCAGAGGTGGGAGTGATGCAGCTATCAGCCACGGAGCAACAAGGATTGCCAGCAAGCACCGGAAGCCAGGATAGAGGCACTCAAAAGGAACCCGCCCAAGGACACCTGGATTTCACAGGTCTGGCCTTTTGAACATTGTTTGAAGCCACCTCACTTGTGGTAATTTCTTATAGCACCCCTAGGAGGCAAACACAGCCCCACAGCTGACAAAGGATCTGTGCTGAGGAGGGAGACCGTGAGAGGAAACCCCCTGGCTGGGCTCCCGGACCAGAGCCAGCTTGTTGGAAGCCAGGGTGGAGCCCTCCGTTCTCAGGGGCTGTGGCCAGTTCCAGAGACCCTCTCAGCTCCGGTGCTTCAAGCTGAGGGTCCGGGGGGTTTTCAATGGGAATGAAAGCCTGACTTGGGCCTTCCAACAGCTGCTCAGTTGTTTTAGTTTCCCAAATACCCATTCTTCCATCCAAAACCAATCCCACGTGGCTGCTGGGCAGAGTTTCTGTATCTGCGTTCTGCATCCTCAGGCGCTCAGGAAGACCGAGCCTTCCCGATGCCTCCCAGCTGAGGGCCTTTCCTGAGGAAGGCCTGCAGCACGCGGCTGGACTCCCGCCTGGACCGCTCCGCTGCCCTGTCGTCAGCTACATGTGTGGCCACACTGCACCCACCAGACTGTGAGCGGGGACTAGATCTGCCCACCACACCTGGAACACAGAAGGCTCATGAAGGAGGGCATGAGTCCAGGAAACCTCCGTGACCACCCTTCTCAGCCAAGGTGGGGAGCTGGGAGATCAGGCATATGCCTGAGGGATGGCTTGTGGGGTGTTTCCAGTATTTTACTCCTTTCCCAAGTCTCCCACTACCCCAGCTCCTCACACACTCAAAGGCTTCTCCTCAGATGCCCTCCCATCCCTTGAGAACCCAGCTCAGAAGAAAGCAGTGTCCACCTGTTAGAAGCCCCAAGAGATCATCCCCCTCACTCACTTGGAGGGAACCCCAAGGTGGCTGCGCCTCATCCCTGCCTAGTTTCTATTTCCAGAGCTGGACCATGAGGTCAGGGCCCTGCTGACCCACCCATCAGGGTCCTTACCGTACATCTTGCCCTCATCCGACAGGATGATCTTGCGCCGGCCACAGGGTGGGTAGATGGCCAGGGCCTCCTGGAAGCACCGCTCAATGTCTGGGCTCCAAACACCCTCCGCATCGTTGTCGATGGGCTTGTCCAATGCCTGACTGCCCCCAGAGACGTTGCTCCCCTCAGGGGAGTTGGGAGAGCTCCACTCGTTGGAGGTAATGGTGCCGGCCTTGCCCTCCAAGGCTCCGCTTGGAGGAGCGCCTGCTGGACCTGTTTGGGCAGAAACCACAGCATTGGTGGGAGAATGAGGTGGACCATGGGGCGGGGGTACCCAGGGAGTGCCAAGCTCTTCCTCGCCAGGCCACTCACTGCACAGGAACTTGGAGGGAAAAGGCCAGAGATTCTAGGAGACAGAGTACAATGAAAGGCCTGGGAGGATCAGAGGTCAGATCATCTCCCCTCTATAGATCTCAGCTTCCTACCTGTCAAATGAGCACTCTCTGATGGCAGCTCCAAGAACCCAGACAGGGCCGGGAAGTAGGAGACAAGGATGTTCTGGCATTAAATCAATAATGGACAAAAAGGATGAAAAACACTGTGTGCTGCCCAGCCGGTGTGGCTCAGTGGTTGAATGTCAACCTATGAACCAGGAGGTTACAGTTCGATTCCGGTGAGTGTACATGCTTGGGTTGTGGGCTCAATCCCCAGTGGGGAGAAGGGAAGTGGGTGCAGGAGGCAACCAATCAATAATTATCTCACATCATTGATGTTTCTATCTCTCTCCCTCTTCCTTTCTCTCTGAAATCAATTAAAATATATTTAAAAACAAAACAAACACTGTGTGCTGCTGACAGGAATATAAAATGATACAGCCTGTGGGAGGCAATATGGAAGGTCCTCAAAAAATTAAAAACAGCCAGGACCGGTTTGGCTCAGTGGTAGAGCGTCAGCCTGCGGACTAAAAGGTCCCGGGTTCGATTCTGGTCAAGGGCATGTACCTTGGTTGCGGGCACATCCCCAGTAGGGGATGTGCAAGAGGCAGCTGGTCGATGTTTCTCTCTCATCGACGTTTCTAACTCTCTGTCCCTCTCAATTCCTCTCTGTGTAAAATCAATAAAATATATATTTAAAAAAAAAAAAAAATTAAAAACAGAACTATCATGTGATCCAGCAATCCCTCTTCTAGGTATATATATATATCCAAAAGAATTGAAGCAGGGTCCTGAAGAGGTATTTGTACACTCATGTTTCTAGCAGCATTATTCACAATACCCAAGAGGTAGAAGCAACCCAAGTATCCTCAGATGGATAACGGATGAACAAAATATGACAATTACATACAATGGGATATTATTCAGCCTTAAAAAAGAAGAAAATTCTGTCACATGCCACAACATGGATGAACCGTGAGGATATCATGCTAAGTGAAATAAGTCAGCCACAAAAAGACAAATACAAGTCCACTTATATGTAGTATCTAGAGTAGTCAAATCCATAGAGATGGGAAGTAGCATGGTGGTTGCCAGGGGCTGGCGAGAGGAGGAGAGTTAGTGTTAATGAGTATAGAGTTTCAGTTTTACAAGATGAAAACGTTCTGGAGATCTATTGCACAACAATGTGAATATACATTTAACACCACTGAGCTATACACTTAAAAATGGTTCATATGTTAAACTTTATGTGTTTTACCACAATTAAAACTTAAAAGTATCCTACCTAATAAAAGAGTAATATTCAAATTAACCATCACTCCACTATACCCACAAGCCACACACACCAGCCAATCACAGCGAGTATGCAAATAAACCCAAACAAGATGACTAGAGCCACAGAGAGCAGGGGGGAGGCTTGGGTTTCCCTGGCAACAGAGGAAGCCAAGCTTTCCACCTGCCCTTGCCAGTCTAAGCCTTCACTCAAGACTACAAAGTTTCAATTATAGAAGAATAATAAACTCCAACAGAAAGGCCATGGAGTGAGCAGGAGGCTTGGCTCTGCTCTAGGCTACAAAGTTTCAATTGTATGAGGTAAATAAATTTCAGATACCAGGGCCTCCACTTGGGGTGGGGGTTGGGGGGGCACGGCTGGCCTGCAAACCACCACAGGCCCCTTGCCCAGGTCGCCCCATGCCCCAAGGGAACCCCCCACCCTGATCCAGAATACCCTTCAGGGCAAACCAGCTGGCCCCCACTCGTGCACCATGCCTCTATCCTATCTAATAAAAGAGTAATATTCAGATTGACCATCACTCCAACACACAAGATGGCTGCCCCCATGTGGTCAAAGATCCTGCCCCCATGTGGACACAAGATGGCCACCACAAGATGGGCAGCAGGGGAGGGCAGTTGGGAGGGACCAGGCCTGCAAGGGAGAACAGTTGAAGACCATCAACCCTGCAGAGGGGTGACCAGCCTGGCAGAGGAGGGAAGTTGGGAACAAACAGACTGGCAGGGGAGCAGTTAGGCATCAATCAGGCTGGCATGGGAGTGGTTAGGAAGGATCAGGCAGGCAGGCAGAAGTGGTTAGGGGCAATCAAGAAGGCAGGCAGGTGAGCAGTTGGGAGCCAGCAATCCAGGACTGCTCCGTGGCTGCCACCATTTCTGTTTGGATTTGTTTACCTTCTATAATTGAAACTTTGTATCCTGGATTGGAGGCCTAAGCTGGCCAGGGCAGGTGGAAAGCTTGGCTTCCTCTGTTGCCGGGAGCAACCCTAGCTTGTTCTCTTCAGCTCCATGGGTGCAGCCATTTTTCTTGGGATTTATCTTCTATAATTGAAACTTTGTATCCTTGAGTGCAGGCTTAGGGTGTGTGGAAAGCTTGGCTTCCTCTATTGCAGGGGAAACCCAAGCCTCTCTCCTGCTCTCTGGCTGTAGCCATCTTGGTTGGGGTTAATTTGCATACTTGTTCTGATTGGCTTGTGGGTGTGGCTGGTGGGCATGGCTTATGGGTGTAGCAGAGTGATGGTTAATTTGCATATCACTCTTTTATTAGTTAGGATTATTGACTTCAGAGAGGAAAGGAGAGGGAGGGGGAGAAAGAGAGAGAAACATCAATGATTATAGAGAATCAGTGATCAGCTGCCTCCTCCTGCATGTCCCCTACCAGGGACCAAACCCAAAACCTGGGCATGTGCCCCAACTGGGAATTGAACTGTGACCTCCTGGTCCATAGGTCAATGGCTCAACCACTGAACCACACAAGCTGGGAAACAAGTACACTTTCAAATGCATAGCTAACTTCAGAAGAAAAAAAACCCCTAGTAGCCCAAAATGAAAAACTATAATAATAAGCAGATGAGCTACTACTATAGTAGCTCTAGGAGGCAGGCATGAAGCTAATCCTATCTATTAAAAGAGTAATATGCAAATTGACTGTCACTGCAACACAATATGGCTGCCCCTATGTGGTCAAAAATGACTGCCGCCTTGTGGACACAAGATGACCTGCAGGGGAGGGCAGTTGGGGGGACCAGGTCAGCAGGGGAGGGCAGTTGGGGGTGATCAAGGCTGCAGGGGGGGGGGGCAGTTGGGGCAACCAGGACAGCAGGGAGGACAGTTAGGGGTGACCAGGCCTACAGGGTAGGGCACTTGGGGGTGACTGGGCCAGTAGGAAGGACAGTTGAGGGGGGGAGGCAGGCCTGCATGGGAGGGCAGTTGGGGGAGGCCAGGCCTGTAGGCAAGGGCAGTTGGGGGTGACCAGGCCAGCAGGTAGGGTAATTGGGGGGTGACCAGACCTGCAGGGGAGGACAGTTAGGGGCAACCAGGCCAGCAGGGGATGGCAGTTATGGGTGATCAGGCCAGTAGGGGAGGGCAGTGAGGGCGATCGGGCCAGCAGGGGAGGGCAGTTGGGGACAACCAGGCTGGCAAGGAAGGGCAGTTAGGCATCAATCAGGCTGGCAGGGGAGTGGTTAGGGGGTGATCAGGCTGGCAGGCAGAAGCGGTTAGGGGCAATCAGGCAGGCAGGCACACAAGCGGTTGGAAGCCAGCAGTCCTAGATTGTGAGAAGGATATCCCAGATTGGAGAGGGTGCAGGCTGGGCTGAAGGACACACATCCCCACACATGAATTTCATGCACCAGGCCTCTAGTCTATAATAATAAAAGCATAATATGCTAATTAGACTGGACATCATTCCAGACAAAGCTGGGGCTGTGAGGGAAGCCAGTGCCAGCAACTGGGGGAAGAAGGCCTACTCTTGCACATATTTCATGCATTGGGCCTCTAGTTTACAATAAAATCTCTTAGCAAACTACTAGAGACAGAAGGAACTTCTTTAACTCACCAAAACATTATCTTCACAAAACCTACTGTGATATTATGATTTATAATAAGAACTATATATTTGGTCTTTGTCCAGCTTTCTGGCAAAGAGCCTCCACAACACTTGGAATTTCCTAAGCTATGAAAGTGATGGATGAGTCTTGCTTTGTGAATGAGAGGACTCTTGGAAAGCACCTGTGGATGGGGGCTGGTGGTCAGGAGAACCAACCATGTGACTAGAAGGTTAGAACTTTCAGTGACCCTCACCCTCACCTCTGGGGAGGAGAGGGAAGCTGAAGGCTGACCAATTGCCTATGGCCGATGTATGGTCAGGGATTCAACCGATCATGCCTAGGAAATGAAGCCTCCATAAACCCCAAAAGGCAACCAGCGGGAGGGCGTGGGCAGCGAATGAGAGGAGGCACCGAGGCCTCCTGCCGTTTGCCCTCCTCAGCCTGCCGGTGCTCACCTATGCGGTGGCCAAAAAAGAAAGACAATCAAATTATTCAAACTTCCAAGAGGAAAAAAACCAATAACTTCTAAGAGAATTCAGCAAGCAAACTCAATTACATTCTCTTATTTTTAACTAGAGGCCCAATGCATGAAGATTTGTGCAAGAATGGGCCTGCCTTCCCCTGGAACCACCTTTGCTCTAGCCAGAGCCACCTTTCCTCTCCAGCCTTTCCGCCTTCCCACACTAGAGGCCCGGAGTGGCTGGGGTGGTAACAATGCAAGTGTCCCATCCCACCCCTGGCTGCTCGATGCCTGTGTATGCAAATTAACCTGCCATCTTTGTTAGGTTATTTTGCATACTCACTCCTGATTGGCTGGTGGGTGTGACAAACGTATGGTTAATTAGCATGTTACTCTTTTATTAGGCAGATCCTCACCTGAGGATATGTTTATTGATTTTAGTGAGAGGCAGGGGGGTAGAGAGAAAAACATTTATATAAGAAACATCCATTGGTTGCTTCCAGTTTGCAGGGATCAAACCCACAACCTAGGTATGTGACC